TTTGAAATCCACTAAAATAAACATTGTARARCACATTTCCTAGCTGCAGACAGGTRTGCCATAACATGCAATTTTCAATTTCCCAGGCATAAACAGATCAAGTTTCACTACCCTGTTATTAAGTAAGCGATTATAGTAATTAATGAATTAAGCAACTTTAAAAAAAAAATAATAGTTTACAAGCAGTATACATGAATCACCACTTCCAGAGCTCCCAGCCTTTCCCAGGCAGCATGCTGCAAGTCACACCCAGCCCCAGGTCTGTTCTGTCTTGCCTCTGCAGCTCAAGCCTTCAGGGGTGTTATCTTTTGACACTCATAATTGCACAACATCGCACGATCTGCAGCCTTACACATCATGAATATTACAAATTTCTTTCTGCAAGGGATTTCAATGTAATTTTGGTTTTATTGAAAGCATTAAGTCCTGTTAACAAACCTTACCTGATGCACTGAGTTTCAGTGGTGCAACAGGATTTCTTTATAAGGATTATTAGGAGGAATCCAAGGCTGGATATACATTCCTGTCTCAAAAATCTTGAACATTTTTGCCATTCCAACAGTTCCATGTCAACAGGAATCACTTATTTTCAAGCAAAGCACTATGTTCCTTCAAAAGAAGTTAGAACAGACAAAAAGACTTTWAAATTTTAATTTATTGAGAAATGTCTGTGGAAACCAAAGCTTCCAGATTGATTTGAGAATRGTGTGGGTTGTATTTGTGGTAAGATGAACAGAATTGGGATATGTTGAAGCTAGCTTAGTTGGTTTCCAAATGTAAACATATGATATGGTTATTTTTTGCACTCTGAAACTAAATAAAATTTCACTTAGTGCTGAGAAGCTGAGGGTGGAAAAATTATTTTCCTAGCATTGTTCCCCAGAAGTCCAGAGGAAAATTTTAAAATATAACCCAAATCAGAGCTGAGTCTTGTCCCTAGACTTCCCCTTCCCCAAAAAAACAAAACACTGCCAAAGCATCACTTGCCTTGTTTAACAGCCCTATTTAGAAGACAATTGCTGTAGGAGTTTGGCATCATTACTTTTTCCAGAGCACTCTATCAGCATGTGAGCCAGCACAAATGTGGAACTCATGCATGTGTGTTACATGGTACAGAGCTTGCCTTTAGCAGTTCTCCATTTCTGACAAGCAGGAAAATAATTATCAAACTGCTTGATGCAGGAGCCTGAGGCTATAGTAACTAGCTAACCCAATTTAAATTTTGCTGGTTTTGCCAATATGTAATTGGTTTGTATTTTAATTATTAAATGGCCTGTTTTTTTCTGTTCCATCAGAAATCTCTTTATGCAACAAAATACCACCAAATAAAGGAAAAAAAATAATCATGGAGAGTTTCAGATTTTTTACTCTCTGAAAAAAAAAACCAAAAAAACCAAAACTAATAGAAAGGATCTTAAAATAGTTTGCTTTGGAAGGGACCTTAATGATCTTCTAGTTCCAACCCCACTGCCATAGAAAAGGACATCTTCCACTGGACCAAGTTGCTCAGAGCCCTGTCCAACCTGCCCATGAACATTTCCAGGGGTGAGGCTTTTCTGGGCAACCTGTGCCAGTTCCTCACTACCCTCACAGTAAGGAATTTCCTCATTACAGGCGAAAAAATCATTCTTAAATGGAGCTCAATTAAAGAAAACAAAAATTATTGCAGATTCAAAAACACACTCTGAACCCATACTTAATTTTTGTCTATCATCTGTCTCCAACTGTGAAACTCTGGTTTTTCCACATTTGGTTATTTTTTAAATAGAAAGTAGACCATAGCTTTATTCTTGTCCCTCTCTGAACCTACTGCAGATGTACTATATCCTTTTTGAATCAGCAGGAACCAGCGTTACATACAGTATCCAATGAAATACAGGCAAACCAGGGATGTACTCTTCTGTTGTTTGTTTGTTTCCCAACAACTCCTAACACTCTGCTTTCTCTTTTGATAACTACGGGATGAGGTTTCCACAGAACAATTTATCATAAACTCTGAAATTCACTCYTTAGTGATAATGAGGCTTCAACCTCACCAACAGAATAAACATGCAGAGCAAGGACAACAGCAGAGCAACAGAAGAGAAACCTAYAAAGATATACTTTGAGGGCTGTATCCCAGAACTGGCTGCTCAGTTTAGGAGAGCTCACATTCAGAATTCAGAATTTATTTTCATTTCTCATGAATGACAGCATCTTTTAAACAATTGTCAGTGAAAAAATAAAAGAGTAATGAAGCAGATTAACAAAGATTAATAAGAATACAACATCAACAGTGACTAGTGAAGGGCAGAATGGTTCAGAAAGCACCGAAAGCTAAAGGTTCCTGTGTTTGCCACAAACCAAGCAAGTGCTGCTTCTCATCCCTGCAAATGGCACCTAATCCTGAGGAGGTGTTGCTGAACCAGAGTTACTACCAAACAATCCCTGCAACAATTTTCTTACGTAAGCAAAGTGACATCATGCCTCTAACCCACTCCCTCTGTCCATGCASTGGGCTGCAGTGCAAGCCAGCAAGACTCCCAAATCTGGATAGTGATAGTGAGTGAATTGTTTCACCTGAGCTTTAAAGGCCACCTCTCAGCAGGATTTATGATCTCAGCACAYCACCATGCAAACTGCAATGACACTGCTGCCTGTTCAGTTCCCCAGAGGGCAAGAAATGTGCTGAAGTCTGGTAGGAGACAACCATAAAGACAGACCAGGAGGACATGTATATGTTTTTTTTTTTTTAATGGGGACTGCTTATTAGTRGACTGAGCAACTCCAGCTGCTAGCCCATGCTTGTTTTTTGCCTTTGGCAAATCAGCTAGCATCTTTCCCAGATTAAATTAACTATAAACACAGGGATGAGATAAAGAGGTACTTGTCTCCTCTCCTTCAATGGTGGCTWAGCTACCAAAGAACTGCCTAGCATGAGAGTACCAGTACACATACCAGAACAAGCTATTTGTGACAAAATGCTGTTAACACTCCAGAAAATCTTACATGGTGATAAACCACTTCTAAGAGTGCAGGGAAATTGGCAATCTAACTTTTACTGTTGGAAAAAGATTACTTACATCCGCAGGGACATGCATCTTGCAGTCAGTGCTGAACAACCAAATAACATCACCAAGAGAATAACACACATTTGATACTTGTAATGCTTTCTTCTGTGAAAGGCAGATAATCTTCCTCCAGTCCTTTCCAGGGCACAGAGTAACAGGAGTACTTTTGAAGAAATTACCTAGCTAAAGGCATTAAGAGACTACACTTGTTCTTTTGGTGGCACACAATGAAAGACTCTTCTCGGGTCAGAGTCTATTCTGGTGCAACATCATTCATCTTCACAGTAGATAGTGCTGAGTCARGAGGATGATGCATGAAGAGCGACTTCATAAATTCACTGAGCCACAAAGAGAACCGATAAAGCTTGAGGGAGAATGCTGCCATGGAAGACTATTATATTTTTTTCCTATAAACAAAAGACAACCTGTACTTACCATCAGATCACCTACCTGAGTGTAAATCTGATGGATCAAAGTTGACAAGAGTGACTAAATACTCTGTTCAAGTATTATCAGTGCAAGCACTGGCTTGATTTGTCACTTTATAAAGTCTGGAAGCCATCGAAGCGAGTTGATAAATGGTTGCCCACCAATAAAGAGCATCACTTAATCTCTAGGCTTGCCCCAGTAAATGCCATCTTTTTCTAAAGTGATGAAGCACTTTATCAAAATATAAAGTATGCTAATTAATTCAGGACTTTTCAAATGACGAGCTTATCTTAATTCAATACATAGATGCTTGTCAGGTGTTGGAAAGAAAAATTGACATCAACAAATCCTAATGAGTGGAGGGGTGGGCAGCGTGAATGGRAGGGGAGTTCAAGAAGCCTTGAAGACTATATTGCCAGCAAATCCCCAGCTCAATATTTCCAGCAAATGGCATGGCTGTATCCAGAACTTAACACAAAACAATCATGTAAGACATGAGAATTATCTGATGCATTCATTTTTCTTGGACTTTGGAGAGAAGATGACAGACAAGATTATCTTCCTTTCAGGTCATTGACAGACTTTAGGATGAGCAATRCAGGATGCTGGAAACCCTTCACTGAAAAGAAAGCAGTATAATTATTAAACAGAAGAACATAAAGCAACATAAAGGTCTTGATACTGTGTTTCACGACCATTTAGCCAGGTGGAAATCTATGCTCAATTAATGGAACTGCAAAGATATTCTACTTACTAAGGAAGCACAAAACCTGAGCAGTTTCATGTTTTCAGGAGCATGGGGTAATTTAGCTCACATACTTTGCTATGACTTTGTCACTGAACCAGTACRAAAACTGGTTATTTCCACTGTGACAAACCATCGAGCATAGATACTTATTCAGTTGCACATCACACTTGGTAAGGTTGACAGCTTCAGAAGGGGGAAAATCTGTAACTGCTTATTTGGCCAGATTGTCATGAAATGATGTGGGCATTTGCTGCACAGCAGGGAATGGCTTTTACTAGACAGGAGCTCAGCAGACAGGAAAGCTGCGTTTTGAAACTTGCAGACCTTGAGTTTCAATCCTGTTTTCTAGTGCAGGTCATATTGAGACAGACCTCTCTTTGTAACTTGTTCCACACTGCTGGAACTGCTACTGCAAGTCTATTTGCTCACATACATTATTAATATCAGCTTCTTGTGTCATCCCCCTTCTAACCTTCAGTCCAGCTATTTGAATTTCATTAGGCTATAACTAGAGTCAGTTGAAACTTGGGGCCAAAAYCAGACAAATTGCAAAAATTCTCTTACCTCATTATTAAAGATTTATATTAGAGCATAAGAGACAACGTTTACAAACTTCATAATTTTAAATGGGGAAGAAAATGCTCTTCTCTGGTGAAGACAAAATGTAGCCCTCCTCAAATACTGTTTTCTTCTTAATATTATTTTAGAAGACTGCAAAAAATTGGTCCATTCCTTAGGATAGTTGCAGTTCCAAAGAAATGTAGTTTCCCAGTGCAAAAGAATTCCTTTGGGTCCCCTTCTAACAGCAAGACTCCACAGTAACATAAGGGTTTTCAAGAAATACAAAGGAGTATGTGTATATGGGATTTCCAGTCCAGGTGACTACTGCTTGTTCTCTTCTTCTCCCAAGACGACAGAGAGATCTGAAATCAGAGATATTCCACCAYGTGCAGCAGCAGAACATTCAGCATTTCCTCCAAAGAAAATAAGCTATGACAATTGTTTTGCAGGGAGGGGGTGGTTTAAGTAAAACCTCTTCATAAACTAGGTTTCCCTTAAGGTTAGTATTTAGGATTTTTTTTTCATGTTAAACAGCTTTGTGCATAGGTTGGGTGGTTCCACAGCCACACAAGCAACCAAGGTCATAAAAGATATTTTTTCTTTCCAGAATTTCACCCTCTAAAAGGTCCTTTTTCTGGTCAATAGAGAATTACATCATTTAAGTTTTTGACAAGCATCCCTGAATATTATGAAAAACAGAGTTGTCAATYTTTCTGTTAATCCTAAATTCACTTTATATATGGTTTTAATTATTACTACAGTAATTGTCCTGTAGCTTTCTTAGTGACTGTTGGCTTTCCTTTTTCTTTGATTCCCATTCATGTGCTGTCTGGTGCACTAGCTGTCCTTGACATTTCCTTATTAGGTTTACAAATAATCATTAATTTGTTTTGTGTTCTGCCTCCTGTTTCAGTGATATATAGGCATGTCATTACCCTTCTAAAGTATATTCATTGTTTTTTTTGTTTTTTTTTTTTCAAAAAAAGCTCTCCACTTCTAACTCAGGGCCCAAGGCAATTTGCACTATACACAGATGATGGTGTATACTGATCATTGCACCTTCACTAAAGTGTGTGCTATCTGTTCTTTAATTTTCATAATTAATGAACTTGTGATCTGAAGCCTCTTTCACTGTTTGATTGTTCTTTCTCTTGGTCAGTTTGAAAGGCATTGCACTACAGCAAACAGGATACTAAACTCAGGCTTGTTTGCTATTCCTCATTTTGTCCCAGGCCTTTTGATTGCACCATCTCCACTGTCCTCCTACCACCAAGGAAGCAAAACACATAAAGGATGGGTTTGTGCAAGGTTTTTGGATGGAGATTTTTGCATGGGGGAAATTAGCAAAGTTATCAGACTTGAGCCTCTTTTATGCCAAGAAGTTGGCTTGGGGTGGCTTCCTTAAAGTCTCAGCAATCTGCTGTGGCTGACTTGATCAGCATTTACTGTCTGATAATCTGAATTTGAAGTCCCAAAAGAAAAAAAAAAAATCTTTTTGTTATACTGTTTTCTTCCCCTTAGCAGTTTTGGCAACTCAGTTTATGTAGCATTGTTCCTACAGTAATAAACTTGTTGAAAATATATTTTTAATTAAGAAGTTAAAGTCACACCAAAGCAGTTCAAAGTTTCACTCACATTTCTGATATTTAGATGCTTTTTTTAGATTTAGATGCTAAAGTTTTAAAATTTACTGAATTTTAATAGCCAAAAAAAAAAAAAGAGATAGCTATGTCTTCTTTAAGTTTTCTATCCTGAATAGAAACTAAGAGACCAAGATAGAAGGCAGATCACCCTCCAAGTGATTTTAAAACAGCAGAAGTCAGATGACCTCAAGAAAGGCACATTATAAAGAAAACAATTAGAGCAAGATTCATCTGATTTATACTGCAGAACCAGTATGAATCCAGATCTCTTATGCTCTGCCTTAAAGAAAACAAAAGTAACAAAAATCAGTTGTCATGTAGATTATATTTTTTCTTCATGCACACTAAGCTAATACTGAAAAAGTGATGTGTTTTGTTATGTTATAAAGTTAGACCTCATATTCAACCAAAGGATTATCTGTCCTACACTCCTAGCTGTGCATTTACCTGATCCATGATGAGCATCTTATTTCTCCTTAGACTGCTTTTCAAGGTGTCATCCTTTATTTTGCTCTGAACCTTGTGTTAACCCCTGCATATGTGCAAACCAAGTGTAAAACACAATCATGTCAGGAGTGATGGAATTTCCCACCCACTCTGCAAAAAGAATTATGCTGTGTTTAAGGCTGTTGGGCAATCTGCTCCAGAGTGTCTTRTAGCAGCCTTTTCCAACACAATCCAATTAAATTAAGCCCTGTGCTGTCCTCCATGTGATGGTCTGAAACTATGATGCCAAAATTAGGCATCTCAGAGTTGCGTGAGATTTATTTTTGATTCATTTTTCAATTGTTGATGCAGTGGAGATTAAATAACTCCTATTTTCATTTCTTCCCAAGTATTGAAAAAGGTTAATTTTGCAGTTACTTAGAAATAATATCTTATAGTGGCAGATTTCTTCTCCCCCTTGTCTACTGTATTTGTASAAATGACAACAAGAACATGCAGCAGCATGTAGGATGTTCTCAGCATTTTACGAGGGAATTATATTTACAATATGCTTGTCAGCATTTCCTAATAGGTCTCTGTATTCGGGAGTCCATAAATCTACTGAAATTTCAATCTCAACTGGAACTTCACAAGCAGATCCTCTACTCAACAAATCTTTCTCAAGTGAGCTTCAAAAAAATAAAAAAAAATAAAAAAAAAAAAACCTATTCGATGGGAAAGCATGTGCATAGCTTATTACAGAAATGGTATTACAACTGAAAAGAAACTGTACTTATTGTATCAGTTCATACGCCAATGGGAACTCTATAAGCCATAGAATTGGAAAGCCTTCCTGAAGGAAAAATAAAAGCTATACAGAAAGAATTGTTCACCCTTCCTGAAAGAGGAAATTATTAGTGTAAGCTTTAAGAAAAGAAAGGAAGACTTTTTTGAAAGGTAAATTATCACATATCCTTTCCTTTCCTTGAGTTAGCCAGGTCATCACTATCTGTACCTATGCTAATACTGGGACTGTCTGAAATTACATGCAAGTAAGATATRATCAATGATTATGTAGGTATATTTAATGAAAATTTTAAGTGAATTCTAAAAGTCTGACTCAACCCACAAAAGAATCATAAGCAGAAAAAATAGGTTTTTCTATAGATCCAAGAAAGTGATTTACAAATCAAAAATATAGCAGTGTCACACATTAACAGAATTTAAACCTGTTGTTTAGTAAGAGTAACACAAAAAAGGAAATAGAAGCCAATCCATAAGTTTCAGCTGCTTTAATCCAGTAAAACTTGAGTGCCACAATTCAGTCTGTGTCAAAAAAAACAAATTACTGAGCTGCCCCATAGTGTTTCAATGGAATCAAAATCTATATCATCAGTATTCCTGCACATCAATATTCCTTTGCAACAAACACTTTAAATCTTAAGGCTAGAAACACACACTCAAAGTACATCATCAAGTACCAAATAATTTAAAAGGTCATGAAGAAAGTTATGCTTGAGTAGTGTTGTAACAAATAAGCAAACCAAACAAGCAATAGCTCACCCCCTTCCACTTTCTGCCTCACTTAGCACCATCCYTCCCTTCCCCACACTGGGGTTTGAAACCTCAGATAATAAAAGCTGTCATGTGTTTATTAAGGTCATGAACATACAACACCTGAATAATCTTAATATCCTAGAACATACAACTCCTGAACCATATAAACCAGCCACACCTGGCRTTTTAATAGCATCAATAGAGCGTATTTTATAACACATGTATAACTTCAACAGTGGGCACATTTACACCCTTCCTAAATGTCTTAGAGTGAGAGAAAAGTAGAATTCAAACCTCTTCCATATACATTTACTTGCATCCCATTGTTCTGAAGATGACCTCAAAGATTATACATGTATCAGAATTCTCTAAGCATAACCTATARCAGCATTGAGAATCTAATTCAGACAGGCTTTCATGCATGACTAACATTAATCAACTTATAAATCTTGATGTAGAAKTTTAGCTTAAGAAAAATACAGTAATTTAATCAGTGTTGTACACTGTAGTTCTATTTTGTTCATCACTACCCATAATACTGTATCATTAAGCTCATTTAATTCCACATAAAGCAGTCAAGCAGTGAACGCTAAAGCCTTCCTCAGACATCATTTAACCCAGCAAGCCTCAGGCACCACTGGAAAAAGCCTGCAATCCGAGAACACGGATAAATCCAATCAGAACATGAGTTTGGAAATATTTTATGTCTCAATGACCAAATGCAACAAGATTGTATTAGTAACAAAATCCTGACATTGATAATTATTCATAGTAAGGAATACTCCACAAGAGGATTGTTATGTTCTGAGGTACGTATTGCTGTGCTAAATACATAAATCCAACACAAATACAGCCTGATTTACTCCTCCATTACCCCCTTTAAGTTTCAGTGGAATTGTTATAGCAAAATGCAGATGCAAGACATGACGACTCCACCCCAAGATGGGAAAGTCTCTCTCAATCACTTTCCTTCTGAAGTGACCAAAGAGGTATCTTTCAGTTTCAGCAGGAGGTATAAGCAATGTTTACTGCACTATCCCTCACAGGTCAATCTTCTGTCCTCAGTCAAAAACAGTGCAATGGGGAGGGGAAAAAAAATTTACACATCTACACGGTGTTTTTTTAGATTTCCATGAACCCTGAGAGTTTATGTTCCAAAATGTGAAATGAAAACTATGCAGCATCCACCCTATGTAGTGAGAGAACTACTGAGGAAATCTTTTTATGCTAAGAATTTCAGACCATCATTCTCACACAGCAACAGAATCCCATTAAAACCAAACCCTCCATCGTCCAGCAATGATACAGGAGGGCGTAATCCTTCTCTGAAAGCAGACCATCAATTGCCACTGAGSAGTGACAGTGGAGAAAATGCTTTCMTGCGGAGACCTGAGTCATCAGCCTGAACTTCTGCAACATTCTTGCGTTAGGCATTTGCCTGCTGAGCAGTTATTTGAGAACACAGCGAGAGATAAACATGTTAGCCATGAGAATAGAAGGTGAGGGGAGAAATGATAAAATACCAAAATGTGAGAAAATAGTATAAAATGCTGTAAATGTCAGAAATGAAAAGTAGAAATAATCCTCACCCCAGCTCTCACAAAACACAAGAGGGTCTGTAATGTGCTCCTTCTAGGAACTTCTCTGAGGATTAGGAAGTACTTGCTCACATCTGGTACATCAGAATTTATACCTCTATTTCCACATGTTTTTTGACCCAGTGATTTCTTTTTGTTGTTTTTTTTTTCTTACAACTTCAAGTATCAGGCTATAAAACCSTGAATGAGCTGTCCAGACCACCAACTAAACTAAATATTTCGTATCAACTGAACTCAATTATTCTGCTTTAATTAACCACAAAAAGATCTAACCCCTTAGAAATTAACAGTTCTTTCATCTTCCAAGCAAGTAAGAGAGTATAAACATCAATAAATTCTGAAATGCAGTTAAAACTGAAACTTCCCAGAGATTTTATTATTCCAATACATGTAGATGCGTGTTGGAATAACGAGCATTCTTCCAAGAACTCCCCCCACCCAGCCCCACCATTTCATTAATCATRAAGTTAGTAATGCAATAAACAAAATGGACCATAATGAAAAACAAAAATACCCCACTTCCAAAACCCTGTGGCTGAAGTGATGTCAAAGAAAAGTGCTGCCAGGGGAAAGGTAAAAGATCACATGGGAGGAAAAGATTTAGGATAAAAATAAGTGGATTATTTGGAATTTCAGAAAAGTTTAACAAGGAAGGTACTACAAAAGCCTACATGTTGGYTTGTCAAACCCTTTTTTCCTAATATTTTTCCCTTTTGTAGTAATTTTTTACAGTGCTGTCTCAGATATGACTGCATAGACCRTGCAGCCTGACCAAGCCAGCAGAGGCTGTGGATATGTTGGTGTTATCTGACAGACTTCAAATTTTACACTAAATTATAGGTACAATTGTGTAGTGGACTCTTTTCATTATGGAATGTACAATATAGTTCCATGGAGAACCTACTGTCGAGAAGAACAATCCACTTTTTCTTTTGTGAGAGAAATCTAATTATATGTTCCAATCTCCAAACATTTGAACTGCAATTTAAAAGAAAAATAGGTGAATTAGAAAGCAAAGATAATAAGAATGAAATAGTTGTGAATGCCTGTAGCATGGTTTTTTAAAAAAGTCTGCTTTACTTAAATCATACACATTTAAAAAAATCTCTCTTCACAGATTAACATTTTCCTTGCTCAACAAGAAGGAATAGCCCAGCTCACTATGGCAATATCTGCTGTTTCCTGAAAGGGAGCTTACAAAATATTCTGGCAGCCTCCAACTTAATTGAAACTTGTACAGTCAGTGAAATGCAGAGGGAGGAGACAGACACAATACTGTGGGTGTCATTTTATTCAGTTTCRTGCAATCAGTGTGGGCCATCATTCAAAAAGCATAAAGAGTCTTCATGGACTCAAAAGGAACCTTTGGGGAGATAAATACCACTCAAAAAATGATACCTTTATCAGATAATAGAAATGTCTTCAAATTCATTCTCCTCTTTAAATAAAAGAATATATATATATATAGATATATATGTAGTTATTTGCCATTGATGAAAAAAAAGAATAGAATCCTTACTCCTAGGATATATTCAAGTCTACTGAGTGACTACATTTATTTGATGGAGAGATGAACAAACCCACCCATGGAAATAAAACTGGAAAATGTAGATTCAGACTCTAAATCCACTGTCAAAATTATAATCCTTCCAAATAAATATGTCCTATACAGTGGTATTTGCAGAAATCTGCACTCTGTTGTCATGGCCTCTGTGTCAATCTTAGCTTTCATTAACTTTGCAAATTAATTCTGAATTATTGTTGAAACAACTTCACCACAATTTAGAGCTTAGCAAGCCGCTTAAACAGCTTTCAAATATGCATAACTAATCTATAATTTTATATTCTGAATCTGTGATCTTGTTATGAGGACATGCAACTGCACTGCAGAGAAATAATGATTCAGATGATCGCAATTCCTCCTACTCTCTCCCATTATGTGAAAGATAAAAAGAATTTTCACCTGTAAACGTTTCTTATAACTGGTTTTTTTTTTGTTTAATTTTTTATTTTTAATTACTCAGCCTTTCAAGGCATGTTATCTGAAAAAACGTTTTTCTGAAATTTCAAGTGAGTGTCTAGTCTTTATGCAGGAATATACTCGAAGATATCAGCTGTAGATTTAAAAAACAAAAAATCCAGATATTATTAGATTTTTTAAATGTTGCACTTCAAAGCTTCTTCCTCTTTTTACCACTTTTCATAGAGCAGTTTCATCTCATTATATGCCAAATAAGGAAGGACTACTGTGACACCTTTTGGTAATTCCTGCTCTTCTTTTTATTTTTTCAAGAGAATTTGAAAGCACATGTTCCCTCCTTATGTGACTTAATGGCAGATTAGTTTCTAGTGGGAATGAAGAGCCCGTCACTTTTGCCAAGACCAAAATCAAGGTCTTGTGTGAAGAAAGCTGTTCATACAATACTTCCTGGTAAGTAAGTAGGGACTGAAATATTTTAGGCCCAGACAGCCTTGCAGAGAACATGSTCTTTTCCAACTAATTCTGATTACCTTATAGCTTGATAGGATCAAATACAAGGAAAATAATTTGAATTTTACTCCTGAAAAAATACATTTACTACTTCTACATTACATGGCAACACATGAGTTACACACCTAATTTAGGGACATAACTGGTCATCACCCAGCCATGAAATGAGTTCTGAGTATTAAGAACTGTTTCAAAGGACAACTTTTTTTTTTTGTTAGAAGTTATTAACGAGTTGCTTGCACCAAGACATTACTAAACATGCCACTGATTTTGAGAGAATGAATTCAGAAGTACAGGTACCTCCAGAAGTAAAATAATATAATGTATTGATGAATCACATATGCAGGACTTAGGTCTTACTCAATGTCATTCTAGGTCAGTCTTCCTTATTAGAAATTGTACTTCTACTCTTTCTAAACTTGGTACATAAAACCCCCAAACCAGATAACCTAATGAAGACTTCATTAATAACTTGCTGATCTTTCAAGTGGAGGGAATTCCAGTTACAGCCAGTGGCAAAAAAAAAAGCCCCAGAATACTTTAAAAACAATGACAAGACTTAATCCCAAAACTCAAAGGCAAAACCCCCAATAAACTTGTTTTAAGCCATGAATTAGAGGAAGACACAAGCTACAACAAATATACCCCCATCARGATTAGTTGGACCAGAAAGATAAAASATAAGGRGTRCAGCAACAGAAATACTCMATGYTAAATGTTGATACTGAGTATCTTCACCACATTAAAMAGAGTACATCAGACAGGTTGTGCATTGGGATTGTGGAAAAAAACACAGCTTTGAGACTTAAGCTAAAACCCACATTTTCTACTTCCTAAAAATTTTATCTAAAATGTAACATAGTATCTTATTGGGTTAATAAGGCTTCATAGAACATTTTCTGTATTTAGTTCTTGAATAATCACAGTGCACACAAAGAACATTATGAACAGTACTGCATCATTCAAACTATTTTCATATAACACTAAAATGTGTGAGTGAGCTGGGAGTTCAAAGAGTTAAGTCAAACAAATTTAAAATGTATAAGTTGAGCTTCAAGCACTCAAGTCAGAAAAAAAAATGTGCTCAAAAAGATTTAGACACATCAGGTTTAGGGTCTGTGCAGCAGATTGTTTTTAAGTTGCAATTATTTATAAGTCACAATCACCTCCATCTACATTTATTTCAGAAAATGGGAAAATGTTTTGATTACTTGTTTTAACTYCAGCTGTAATGCTAAGCAACACATTTTCTGACTTCTTGAGAGGGCGGCTATTTACAGGAAAGCACGAGATTTTGCCTCTGTAATACATGTTTTCAGTTTGTGTAYRTTCATGAACTGCTTTTTATGCCCTYTTGAAACACTACTAATGGCTTCAAAATTATTACAGATTTATGTACAAAACCAAGCACTAATGCAAGATGATTTCTCCAATGAAAACTCTGTAAAAGCAGGCCATTCACTTAAAACCAAAACCTTTACATTGAATGTCTGCTTTCTGATGGTGTTAATAATAGAGCATGGATACAGAGAAATGTGTGTTCAGAGGTGTGTGTACAGTTTAATATACAATTGTATTTTTCCTAATGATAAATTTTCATACTCCTCATTTCATCCACACGTACATTCTACTTGCTCATCTAATCCTGTAGTGGTTATTTTCTAGAATTTTACTGTCTTTGAACAAGCTGAATAATTTCAAAATCTGGKAGGCAACTACATTGCATAACTTGCCACAAAGTCTGAAGTCTGTGASCAAATCAGTTCTATATCTGCAGTAATACTATATAATGGATTACAGAAGAAAGGTTCATTAGATCTTTATCAGGTGAAGACCTAATATTGAATCAGTAAGCACCTAGTTGGGAAGGAAAAACTATACAGTAATTAATATARTATAGTATGCATGCATTGATTTTTACATGGACTATATTTTAGCAGTAATAACGTCTGGCACCAGACTAGAAATCAATAGGAGCCACTATTGTGCAGTTGGTTAAAAAAAAAAGAAAACAATCTTTTGTTTAACTTGCATGAGAGTTCCACATCTCAATTTTACTATTATAGTACCAAACTTATTTGAAATACATATAAATTCACAGTCTTTGTACTCATTCTAACCTTTTCATAAGCAGCACACTGTCWAATTTAGCAAAAAGCAAAATGCAAACATCAAATAGAAAAGGGACTAAGTCTCCTTCACGTGAATATTCATGGAGATTTCTGTTTGYCATCACAGTTCAAACACCATGTTATGCTTTGCTTCCCTTTGCTGTTTTCTCTTAGACTGGTTAAGCAAGCTTCTGACTRAAATGTGAACACAAGGTAGGAAAGGAACTGSAGGGGTTTCTTGAAAAGGTGATAATTAAGATTATATTAGTATTGTAAGGGTATATTAAGAAAAAGAAAAACTAACTCTGAAAGTTCAWTATCTTGTTTAACTCTTGGAAGACCTTGAGGGAACATGTGTGTAGCATCAGAGCCCAAATTCCACCTCCATTAGCTGTTTGGTAACTGCACAGGTGCAGACCCATAACCTTGCACAAGAGATTTCCCAATTCCCCCATGCTATAGAGGGGTAATTACAGGACTACATTAAAAAAAAAATAAATAAATAAATAAATAAATCCTGTACTAGAGAAAGTGGCAGGCAAGAGATTCAGGATGGAGGCTACAGGAGCCAAAGCCTGTGTGTCTGAAGCAGTCATTTCATGAGCTTGCTTTCACAGTCAAAAAAAAGTAATTTTGTAGGCTGCAACTTCACTGAACCACATGAAAATGACAGATGGAAAGAAAATCTTACACCAGTGACAGTTGTAAGGTGTATAGAAATCCAAGGACAATTATGGTACATGTGAAGGTTATCTTGCCCTCTGTAAGAAATTGTTTTACTTAAGACTTCAGGTCAGAACAACCTTCAGAACAGTATAGCCAACATTATGGCATGCTAAAAATTATCATGGCAGACAAAAGAATACTCAATTAAGATTCATATTACTGATARCACAGCCCATTTTTAAAAGGAATACTTAATGAAAGGAAAATAATATTAATTTAAGGAAAAAAAAAAAAAAATCAATCTATTCAATGTTCCTTTCTCCCTAGCACCAATAGTTCTTTTACTTCCAAGGCAATACCAGTCCAGCTTCCACTGTCTTTCCCTATAAGCAGTATACAGCCAAGAAAGGGTGGTATGGGGAATTTAAAATTCATTGTCATTAGCACACAGAGTAAAGCTGATGGAAGCAATGCATTTTCCACTTTTTATATTGTGGTTAGCATTTCAGTATTTTTAGACTAAACAAAATAAATGGGATTATTATGTGTGTTTATAGTACGAGGAAAATAATCTAAAAATTAAATTAGCATAATAACCTTTAAGAGAAAGTATGCATGCAACCTCTATAAAGGTTGCTGCTAATACASAGAAGAAAAAGCATTATTTATTCTAGAAAGTCTTTAGACTAGCCAGCTGATTCTTACATACCTAAAGGTTAGAGTTTAAAGGCTGTTACGGACCTAGAGATCCTGTTTCTCTCAGCAGGTGTCACAAATAGGTAGTTCTGAGAAGAGAAAAAAGTACAAGGGCTCCTGTGATCTTACTTTACAAGTCTTTTTCAGAAGACACTGTCAATTTCAGAAATATTCAGCCAATATTTCCACAGAGGGTTGTGATTTAACTGTTTTACCATATAACAAAAGACTTAGGCCAGAAAGCAATAATTTATTAAATCTAAATTAAGAAATACTCCTAATTTGAAATTATACCTTAGAGTGAGGATTGAAAGCATTCAGCATCTCCCAGCATTTGATTTGCTATTTTTAGCCAGGAATGTGTGYGATCTAGTGCAGCACCATTTACTTTCTAAAATTGATTGCGCTGTCTTTTTGCTGGAAATAAATATACTATCCTAACACCATTTACATAAAAAAATCTGGAACCAACACAGTGTCAAGCCCAAATGCAGAACAGCAAATCTGTGTTTGAGTGACCTTTATGTATAGTGTGCCCACAAAAACCTACTAACAAAATAAAGCTTTTTCCTGTCAGGTTTCACCAACACAAGGCTAGAAAGGAGAAATCAAGGTACAGCAGGAAGAGTATTGTGGTGAGGAAAATAAAACAGCACTCTTCAGAAGACAGGTTAGTTAAAGAGAATTCAGCATTACATTCGCTCTGATCTGCTGGTTTTAGCATTCAAAGGGTTGAGACACTGATGATTTACATTTCAAAGAAAAAAAAAAAAAATGAAGCTTGTTGATCATCCTGCACACTGTATGGGTGAGACTGCCTAATTCTGCATGACCTCTATCCATGGAGGCAAAGGAAGCAACTTCAGAGCCCATCCTCCTCAGCACTGTTCATGAAACTCTGGTCTCTCTCACCTTAAACACCCACATTTACCAATATAAAACCTGACTCAAGCACAAACTTATAAGTTTACAAGGTTCCTGGTATACCACTTTGTGAGAGTATCAATAAATCTAGGGGAGCTACATCTGAGAAACAGATAAAAAGAATGGCAGGTTGTTCACCTACAGATGAAGAAAGTGCTTCAACTAGCATGCATCTTGATTTCACTGATTTTTTTTTTTTTCCCCTGCAGGTGCTATTAATACAAAGAAACCAACAGTCTCATTGTTGAGCTCTGCCTATGTTCTTTTGMATTTGAATACATCTGCAGCAACAGATGTCAACATATCCCCTAACATTGTGTAATACTAAATWTTTTTCTGAGGAAGATTTTGGTGCCTCACTGCCAAATTGCACTATCTTGAACCCTTTTTAGGAACACCACTTCTCCCCACCCTGATAATATACAAGAATAGTATTTGGCTAATCTCTTGYTGAACTTCAAACTGGGATTCAGTTCATTGAGACAAATTTGCTTTGGTTTAGTTTCCTGACAGGTTTCTCCCTTGCTCACTGATCAAAAGCACATTACAAGAAAATAGGTCTGAAAGAGTGTTTTAGGAGGATAAACATATGTAAGATATTCTCTGTCTAATCATGTTTACTTCTGTTAGATATCATTGAAAGGTTTGGTTGGAAGGGASCTTAAAGATCATCTTGTCCCAARCCACCTGCCATGGGCATGCACACTTCATACACCTATATGGAGAAAAATGAGGGCATAATTTATTTGCCCTCCTTAAAAGACATCACTTTATAATCAACAACTCTTATCTGAAAAACTTTTCATTTCCTTCCTATTTCCTGCCCTCTTAKAAATAATGTATAAATAGATATGAACAAATAAGTAACCCAAAAGGAGCTTTATTTMCTCCTTGGCAAATTAATATTTTCAAAGAACACCTCTGAGATTTTTCCTGGCAGTGACAGTGAAAGACCAGAATTCTGCAACTTCACAGCCCTATTAAAGTAAATTGGGCACAACAGTTATGCCTGTTTGCTCCACTGCAATTTTAAGTTCTAGTCCTAAAACAGAGTGCAAGTGGGGTGTCTTATCTTCTTCAATTCAAGAAGTCCCTCACAGTCAAAAATAGCCTTAGTGAACTTCATATCAACTTGATAGATAAAACAAGAGCATTTACATTCATCCTGCCTGTTTCTCCAAACTCACTGCAGCCAAAAAAACCCCTACTTGCATCTGTCAAAAGGATTGGAGCTGTGTCTGTCTGAAGGATTGCTTGAACACAGTATTTGGTCACTATAGGTAACAAAAAAAAAAAAAAAAAAAAAACAAAACCAAACTTCTAAATGTATTGGTTTGATTCTTTGTGAGGGTAACAGAAACAATGTTGCTTTCCCCACACACACACATCTCTCCTCTTTCACAAGAATATCCTATTTAGTTCCACAGTCTGAAAATGACCTTTCATTTCAGCAGCTCTGTGGACTCCACTACTTGCCGAAACAAACTATTTCTTCCTGGCACAAAAGCAACTATTTTAATATTCTCTTCAGACTTTCTCTTTGCTGCAATCCTAATAAATGCATTCAGGTTTATGATGAAGAGAGATCCTACCAGACAAATGGCAGCAAGGTTACAAGCGTGAGCTGATGACCTTCTGAAAGCTTGTTTTCCAGGTCTGCCTGATGGGGTGAATGTTCCAGTGATGTTATTCATTGAAATAGGAACTCCAAATATTCCCCTTTTCTGAGCAAAGTCATTTTACCTTGACAGCATATCATCACTGGCTCTCTTCCGTACATCTCCTAGGACAGGAAAGAAAGGTGAACAATTTATCACTCATGAATCCTTGATTTTAATGCAGATATTAACTGAAATTCAATTTCTATTGAATACATATTTTGAATATTATATACACATTCATATGCAGTAATATTAAGGCACAAAGGCTAAATGTATCTGTCATCTGATCTGAACTGGGATAGAGATATAGCATTTTTTAACCACAGTATAAAACACTGGTGACTTCTACTTCACAAATCCCTGATTTTTCTAAAACCTTTAAGACATTTAACCATTAGAAAGCAAACAGTCTAACAGGATTTCCAGTTTTATAATTAGTTTGACCTCAGCTTGCAAGAGTTAAAAAAGTGTTCAGTCACACAAGTTCATTTATTCTGAATACCAAACCTGGAATGATTTGTCTGCTTTCTTTCCAGGAAAAGCATTTATAGGTTGGATTACACCCCACAGAACTGCACACAAAGGTGTGATTCCATGTCCTAGTCTCCTTCTTTTAGCACAGAGATTTCACCTCTAAGACACTCCCTGTGTGACAGAGAGGGGCACACACCTTAAGAGCCCCACACAGAGAGCTGATGCCATCACTTCAGATGAACATGGGGTTTTCATTTGGGCACTACTGCAATCCAAACTTTAAAGCTACTTCATGAAACTTATTGTCTTTCCCTTTTCTGCCTGAAAAGCAGACAGGGTCWGTCCTTACCTTACATTCTGAAAGGGCACTTTCAATTTGCCAGGAAAGAGTCAGAAATTCAGCTTGCTTCAGCAGAGAGAATTACAGGGTACAATCCCAAGCAAATTAATAACACACCAGGGCTACAGAAATAAGGTCACAGTGTCTTTGGCATGTTTTTGAATAGGACACTCACAGCTGGTCTAGATTCTTGTGCTAATACCTTCTTTGAAGGTACACTTTTTTCCCCACTGCAGTTAGCTAGAATGGGTAAGAGAGGTATGGAGAGGAAGCCTCCTGTACCTTTGGCCACTTTAAGCTAGAGTAGTTTGRTTTTACAGTGTTCTTTTGATACAATTCCTTTCAGACCCCTGAAGGAAGCTCAGCCTTGGGCTGATTTAGAGTTTAATCCCTTGTTGAGGTGCATTGCTCTGGGGCAGGTCTGTGCCAGAGCAGGGCAGGGATGGCAGCACACAAGGGGTTCCCTGAGAAKGGGAACACCAATTCCAGACTGGCTCACCCACAGTGGCTGAGGCAGTGGGGAACCCTGCGCCATCTACCCTTCCTGTGTCTGATGTCTCCACAAAGACAGAACTGTAGAGGAGAGAGGCTGCAGTGCAGAAAAAACCAAAAACCTTCTCCTGKCACAGGGWCAGGCAGCAAASCTGCCTGCAAAGCTGGGCCCAGGTGGAGAACCTGCAGGTGGCTGAGCTGCACGAGGCAGTGAGAAGGCAGTAGAACATCAGGGAGACTGAGAAAGAATTAGTTCAAAGCAAGGTCGGCAGCAGCACCTAGAGCCAAGCAGCCACAAACTGCTGCTTAACACATGCAGAAGGAGATGGGAGGCAATAATGCAGAAGAATAGAAGTTTGCAACAGAAAGATGCTCAGAGGGCTGGAACACCTCCCCGATGATGCTAAACTGAGAGAGTTGTGGGTTTCCAGCCTGGAGAAGAGAAGGCTCTGGGGAGACCTTAGATCACCTTCCARTACCTAAAGAGGCAATAAGCTGGAGAGACTTTTCACAAGGGTGTGTAGYGGCAGGACAAGKGGGAATGGCTTTAAACTGAAAGTGGGTAGGTTTAGTTTAATTATTATGAAGAAATTCTTCACTGTGAGGGTGGTGAGGCCCTGGGACAGGCTGCTCAGAGATGCTGTGGAYGCCCCATCCCTGGAAGGGTTCATGGGCAGGTAGGATAGGGCTCTGAGAAACCTGGTCTAGTGCAAGGTGTTCCCTGCCATGGCAGGGGGTTGGAAGATCAGTAAGGTACCTTCCAACCCCAAAGAACTYACAAAACGATTCTATGATTTCACAAGCAGTATCTCCATCTGTGTAGATGTGGATGGCTTTCTGTAGCTCTTCACCAAGTCCACCAGCTATCACCCAAGAGTGCCACCAAGTTTATCCTGCAACACAGGGATATAAAATATAAATATAAAATAACAGAACAAGAGGGCACTCACCTACTTTGTCTTTCTCAAGATTATCCCAAAGGTTTTACAGACCTGTTCCATGTTCAGGTCTGTGCTTGTGTATCTCCTTCTGTTACCTTCTGCTAAGTAACTGTACACATTCTACATGGTGCTTTAGGATACCATGGATTCATGTTATTAGTTTTTGGTTTGGTTTTTCTTTTTTTTTTTCTCTCAAAAAGATTTTTTTCCCCCTGCAGAGTTAAAATAATCTTTTGTTGCCATCTTTTAAAGTAACCAGCTGCTTCCTGCCAAGACCTACAGCTCAGCTGTAACCACTATAAAGGTATTTCTTCAAAACATTAAAATTTATTGTGGCTTTATTTCTTGAAGTTGCTGTATTCTTAAAACTACCTTTGTCAGTGTGCATTGCCCTCACCAATGCGCTCTCCTCACTGCATCAGTTCCAGACAATGCAGTACTTTCTCTTGCAGTTACACTTTGTATAAAGGAACCTGTAACTGGGAAATGGGAATAAATAATATCTCGGCAATTCCAACAATGTAGAGAGACTCTAGAGATGATAAATGTCAGAAAGTTCAGCRTCAGTTTTTCAGAGGGTAAAACATAACAGGAAGTTAGCAAAAAAGATCCTTCAAAGTAAGCAATAGGGCATATATGTGCAGATGTTTGTCAAGCAAACAGGGTTAGGTGAGGTGCCTTAGAGCTGARTTCTTCCCATCCACATATATTCTCCAAATCACAGTCACAAAAAGATGCTGGATTTATGAGTCCACTAATATCTTTAAAAGATAGTTTTCTTCCTCTTTTAAAGTCAAGAGGATTTAGTTGTCCAAAACAACACAGTTTAAGAGACTTATCTGCACACAACTGAGGATAACCCCTTTAKAAAACAAACCTTTAACTTCAAAGTTAAACTAGACGTATGCAGTATAGTTCCAAGCAAGCAACTCTTGCCAAGTGGTTGTCAGATCAGAATGCYGTGCAGTGTATTTGACAGAAAAGCTACTTTAGCAACAAGAAACAAACCCAAGATTTASTAGTGGAAGAATTCAAACACTGCCAAAAGAATCACACAATAAGTGCTCTCTGTAACAGAGCTTTTGAGATTCTTACTGATGCAAACCTAGACTCTCACATTAATGATCAGGCACCCCACTGTTTCAGGGGCTCCTCAAATTTAGATTTAAGAGATATTCTTAGACAAGTCTAAATAAAAAGCAAATATGTATTTTAAAGGAGTGGGGAAATAATTAAAAAAAAGAGAAAAAAAACCAATCACACTCAAATGCTTGGAACACTGTAATAATATAGCACAACTGCTCTAATCTGCATGATTAAGACATTTTTTACAGATCCAAGTACTCTTTCCATTTATAACTCAAGGGCTATCTGCTCCACACTTACTGCCCTTTTCCACTTGGCCCCCACCCACCAAACTTCTGAACTGAAACAAAGGCACACCTTACTGGTGTGAAACCATTTAAATTAGCAGGATTAGTCATTCTGATGCATATTCTGTTTTGCAGTGCATCTGTATTAGGCAAATGCATTTATATTAATGCAAATATCTTACCTGAGATGTACTACAAACTGAAAGGAAGATGTAAACATTGCAATGAGTAAAACAACAAAACATCTAAAAGGTGGGACATTAAATATACGAGGACTGAAGCCAGAAGTCAAATTAGCTCAAGGGCTTAACTACACCCKTAGAATGAAGTGGTAGTCATTGTAAGAAATACAAAGCAGCCCGACAACACTAATTAAAGAATTAACAAATAGAATTTTAGCAGAATTCTTTTACAATAGACCTTTAAACTTTTCCTACTCATCAGGCTCTAAATTGTTTCACTGGGGGGCACAGGGGCTATTGAGCTTAAATAGCAGCTGTTTWGTTCAGTTCATCTCACATCATATCAGAATATCTGGAAGTTTTGCACTGCATGCTAACATCCCCCACACCCCTCCCCACAAGACATAAACTGAACCATAATATCCAAGTGAAAAACTCAACTTCACATTGCTGTTTAACAAACTTTTGAACCTACTAAAASAGGTTTCAGGTTTTACCTTTCCCTCCCTTATCTTGCCCAGGCACGCATCAGTGAAGCACAACCTTTGCACATTCACAAATTCCCCTATCTGTAACTCCCAAAAAGGAGGTCTACAAGGAAGGCGGCTTCATTTTTAGGTTTCCATGCCCCTATCAAACATTTTCTGAACTCTGTAAAGAGTGCCAAAGTAACACAGGTCATCTAAAGTTTATTAAAGCATCTGTGCCTTGCAGCATGGAGTTCACATATTGTGAATGCAACATTACTCAGCCAATTTAACAAGATTAGCCAGCCTGCTTTTTCCACTTTCTGTCATTTCTTCATCCATAACAAGCTAGCTTGTAGCTAAGGGCAGCCAAGCTCTTTTAAAGCTTTATTCTTTCACAGCTAGTAAAGTACAGCATTTACAATTGGGAGCTATCATGTCAGAAGCACAGTAGCTTCTCACAGGTCATTCAAAGTGCGCTACACAAACCAAAACCAGGAAAATAGAAAAGAGACTGGGGAAGAAAGCAGACTAATTAACAGTTCTAAATTTTAGTTAAACTCTGCTCAACCTTCTGCTTCCCAGATCCAGCTAGACAGCTAATAAGCCTCATGGAATCCCAGCTCTTAATTAACGCGCAATTATTTCCCCAGAAGGATTAGAAGTTTCACCAAATGTTCAAGAAGYCAGTTTTCACAACTCCAGTTAGATTGCTGTCTATGTTTAGGAGCAGGGGTTACTGCTCCTTAGTCTATTGGTAACAGACTACTTTTATAAAATGCAATCACATCTTGAAAAAATGCCTGCATTTTCATTGCACAACATTCTCAGCCAATAGTTCAGACAYT